CAGAGAACATCACGAAAGACTGACCTGCGTGAAGGTGAGTGGCATATATATATATATATATATATATATATATATATATATATATTGGACGTTGCGCAATTTCCACAAGAGTAGCAAAAAAACTTTCTCTTCGTAAACTGACAGGTCTAGGGTGTTGGTTGCTAACCTCTGGTACATGTGGCTCCAGGTTTGCGACCCCCAGCACGAATCTTATTTCTTTTTGGTTGGCGTCTTTAATTACCTATGTCTTTCTCTTCGTAAACTGACAGGTCTAGGGCAACTGTTGCTAACCTCTGGTACATGTGGCTCCAGGTTTGCGACCCCCAGCACGAATCTTATTTCTTTTTGGTTGGCGTCTTTAAAGTGTTACCTATGTCTCGTCATAAAGTGTGACCGCACTGCCTGAAGTCCACGATATGACTTCGGGAAAAAGGGCAATTCCTAAAACGAGCCAGGTAACTACATACGTCTCATGCCGCAGAACTGTCTACCTTGCGGAGAACTCTTGATCCAGCTATCTATAGAGTAGGAAGGGCCTAAAGTGGGATGCGAGATATTGCAACAGTCGTAAATCTGTCGGTTTCCACCTCATTAGGAAAGCCTAACCATTCCATACGCACGAGCTGGTTAAGTAGTCCTCTTCAATGTCTGGTCACCCCGCTGCATACTTCCGCCAGTGTCGGTGAAATAAAATTGCAAACTGATTCCATGTGTCTTTGGTGCGCAGTTTGTGGATAAGGAATCACTCTGGACTGTGGGCAATAGGCTCCGTACAGACTTCCTTTGAACGATGGTATAGTTTGATGAAAACCCGATTCGTCTCAAACGTCTGCCCGAAAAACGTATCTCTTCAGCTGAAATGCAAAACGAGATGGTTTGTAGAAGTGGTCCAATCGGGTCTATCACCACGTATGGCTGCTGGAGAACCACGTTATACAAGTAAATGAACCTGTTGGTCACTGAGTAAGCGCCTACTAATTTAGGTTTAAATGATTTGCTTAGGCTTTCATAGAATATTAGCAGATTCGGCTTGTGACAGCGCCAGAAGTGTTCTCTTGTCACCGTCGTCTTACAGAGTGTAATTCATTAGTAGTCCTGGGTTTCATAGACTTACTGGCTGCTCCAAACTCTATGAGGTCCCGGGACCAATTCGGTTAAATCGGAGCAAGGTGCAATCCGACTGGGTGTGGCTTTGGGGATGAAATTTTCCGAGTTGACCAATTGATTTCCCATCGAAATTCGATCTGAAGAGTGACGTAAGATGATATAGAGGTGGACTGTGACACGTGGCTTCCATGCAAGTAGCATCCTAGCTTGTACCTCTTCAACTGAATCTGACCCACATGAACACCGTAAGTAATTCGCAGCTAATCTATACCCTTTCCCTTCTGACCGCGTTCTTATGACCAGCAACGACTATTTGTGACTTCTAACTTATTTTCTATTATATCTTGTCCATAATTGCTTACCGAATCACAATATGCCTTCCACGAAGACCCCAGTAAACCTTCCTTTTTCCTTCTCATCCTTGCAGGATGTCCGTTCAGATCTACACTTTCCCGAGCTTTACATCGAAATGTTCCAGCTGGCAGACAGTGCCTCCGCCCTATTCTCGGCTTCTGCTCAAGCGGTCACATTGGCCTGTTCTAGCGCCTTTCAGTCATTGGCTCCTTTGAAGTTGTCCCTCTGTCAACCTTCCGGTGAAACTGTAACGAGCACGGAAAGTACACTATACAACGATTCTTCTTCAACAGGTGCGGATGATGGGGAAATTCCTAAAGCTGCCAATGTCACCGAATTTCCCCCACCAACGGGCGATCGTTGGGACGCTGGTCGATTGGCTCTGGCCGTCCCTGCTGCTGTTGCTGCTGTAGCCGCTGTTGCCGCTGCGGAGGCTACCCACCAGCCGCCGGCAGCCACCAACCTTTCAAGAAATGCAGATGTTTCTAGCAGCGCCTCCTACTTTACCTCCCCGTCTCCGTCGTTCTTCTTCCCTTCTCAATCCCACCCATCTTGATTTTTATCGATCGAAGCCTTCCTCCATGCCCCCTGCCACCTAAACTCGAACATCCACACTGACATTGCACACTTCATTGGCCCCATCGATTTACTGACGTTTGGGTGTATATTTTGGTCCATATAGCGCCATCTATCTAGGTCCGATTATCTGTGTATCATCAGGGCTGCTTTGGTGTGGGTCCGTTATGCTCCCACCCGCTTCCACCTTCTCGTTCAATCAGTTGTTCGTTTCAAGCGCCATTGTTTTTTCTTCCGATTTTTTGGTCCTTTTTCTATTAACCTACGTTTTTGCGCGCACGCGTACACAACCACTTAATATCTTAGATATCAGTACATAATGTGTTATTTTTATCTCGCTTTATCTGTCTTTGTTGCCACAAACTCAGGAAGTTTAAACCAAGATTTCAACCTCTGCATTCGAGCAGCCCTTTTCCGCCCATCAGCTCCTGCAGCGAGCATGTTCTACCATTAATCGCCTCCCGTCTGTCTCACTGCCCAACAGCTGTTGGTATACTACCTCCCCTATTATGTTGACGTTCCGCTTTTAATCACACAACCAGGCCGAATGCGGGCCGGAATTCCTTCTCCTATTTCTTGCAGCCCGAGTTTCCAGTCAATCAGTGTACACCTTCCTAGCCACTGTGGTGCTCTGTATTTTAGCCAAGCGTGCCTTGGTGCGTCCGAAAGTCCGCTTCAAATCGCTCACTAGATGCACAAGCAGGCACATACGGCTTGTTGATGTTTGGTCCATCCATCCCGGTCGTATAACCATGCCTCGGTGTCGTATTTCATTTGAATTGACTGCTACCCTGTACTGTGCATTCACGGTCTTTTCTCGGTCTTTCCTTCATCGTTTCGTTTAGTCCTGCTTGGCGTTTGCTCGAATCGATTTTTTATACAGGTTAGTGGGTTTGTTTGCCAGTGAAATTTCTCGAACTCAGGACTGTCCTTCTCGCTGTTTCTGATACATTTTTGAAATTCTACCTTATCGCCTCCTGTCTAATCCTGTCGCGTCTTCTCGCAGGTTGTTTTTTTCAATACACGGCAGGGATTTTTTGCTTTGACTGTCAGCATCCAATCCACCCTTCTTCTGCTCGGGATACAATTGCTACCTCAAGAAGTGTGGCATCTTGATGTACACTTTAGGATTACTTTGCATCATATGCGCACACGTACGCAGAATTACGATCACACGTATCGTCAGCATCCTTCCTATCCAACCGCTCAGCGATTTCTGACCCCACCCCGCTCGCATTCCCCACAAGCTTCCCGAACTTTTTATCTTTGTGGTTGTTATTCGTTATTACTATCACCACCACCACGGTTTCTATTTATTTTTTACTTTGGAGGACTGTCACACTTTTGGCGATCGCCAACCAACACAGCTGCAAGTGTCCCCCATCCCGCCCCCACCCCTCGACATTTGTCTCAATCATCGCATGCAGTTCGGCGAATGAGGACGTTTTTATTTGTTCCTCACCTTCGAGAGCGTCGTTGTGTTTCATCTATTTTCATTTGCCACGTTACTTGGTGGACTAGGGCGCCATTTATATTGCCAATACGTCATCAGCATCCGGTTATCTTTTTGTTTCAATTTACATGCGCCGTTCTCATCCTCTGTGGTTTCCTTTGATCTATTCTCTTGCCTCCACGCTAGCCCCATGCCTTGTCTCATCCTGACTACTCCCTGTTTTTCTTTTTATTTCAACACTGTCCCACTATGTATTGCGCCTTCCCATCGCCACTATGAAACTATTTAATTTCCATAGGACTCATGTCACCTGTTCTGATGACAGCTGGTTTCTCCGTTTATTTGTCATTTCCGGTTTGACGCTATTGTGGCTCGCTTGGTTTTGACACATTACGATCTCCATATGTACGCCTCTCTCCCAACCAATCATCGCCCGGCAGTTTTCCCACACAAAGTCTCAGGTATTTTCCCAAGTTCCCTTCCTAAGCTGTATCACTTATTATCGAATTGCCCTCTCCGGCTGGTTTTCAATTTGTCCTTTTGTTTTTTTCTACTTCCGTTTTTCATATGGTTGCTTGTTTGCCATCCCTGCCCCCCCTCCCCTCTCCATCCCCGTTTCTCAGGGCCTTTGCGCTATGGCCTCCAATAATTACTGACACCCTTTCTACTAATACTAACGATATAAACTAATACTACTACTACTACTACCACTATTTGCGTACTTCAGAATAAATTTTCCGGTTTCTTCTTGTTTCGTGTGTTATCTTTGGGAAAATTGGATGGGATAGTACTCATTGCCCAGTTCAATTGCTACCGAGTGGAGCACATTCCTAGCCGACTTTGGACTAGTTTTTTTTCACTGGGGCATCGCTCTACTGGAAATGCCTCTGACCCCACATCGTTCCCTGGTGAAATCTTCCAAGAGACTGAACGTTCCTTCTTATGTGCAACCACATTCACTCGACCAAGAAATATCAAGGTGCATTTTCCTCGTGAATAGAGCCAACACTTCCCAGAAGTCGAGGATTGTTTTCTCCGAAGTTGTTTGTCGGAAAAGTCACAGCATCAACTTGCCATGTTAGTTGCTTCAGACTGGATGTTCACACTTGTCCACCCTGTTCAATCTGACCAGAGGGCGACAAGTCCGGGGGGATCCTCGTTCGAATAATAATCCACTAAGAACCAGATGACTTGGCCGTGCATCTACTTTTTATGCGTTATTCCCTACAACTTGTCTACAGTTAGAGCCGATTTACGTAAACTGCGATGCAAGTCATGTACGGGAAGTGTATAGTGAGCTCGCTCACAAAGCCAGTGAGTAACCGTGGCGTCGCTCCGCTATGCGAGACGGCTGCTCCTCGGGGCCACGTTAGCGGCAGCTAGGTCTTGTACTGAATTTATCGACGCTCCTACAAAAAGAAATCAGTGCAGTGACGAGCGCTGCACATTTGTTCCATTGACGGGTAGGTAGCTTTCTGATCCTAGGTATGCACTAAACATGCCGAAAGGTTACTGATAAATGTCCGTTTGTGAACCGCAGTGCCAATGCTAAAAACGAAAATCGGGGACGCGACATATTCCGCGGACCTAGGGTCAGATTGCAAGCGGCCTTTTGGTTGTGTTCGTTCATACGTCTTCATATGGGCACCAAGAAGCTGAAGTGACGCTCAGCAGTAGGAGTTCATCTACCCTCACAGAGGAACTAGTTGTTAGGTTTGCTTCTGTGTGTGCGGACTGTGCACGGTCCACGTGCCTGCCTATGATTCCCATAGGCAGCAAAAGACACGTTATTCTTTAGCTTGAGCACACTCAGGTTTTCCTACCAAAGCCTTGGTCCCTGGCTCAAACCATCTGACTGCAGACAAAGCGCATCAGACATTTTGGTTTGAGCATACCGTTGGGAACGTGCTGGAACAGCGATGACAATCGTCACTCTATCGCTAATGCCAGGTAAAATACGAATACCGACAGGATTCACACTCTCTTCTACCTATGGCTGCTTTTGTTTGACTCAGATCCGTTTTCCGGCGTGCAGACCACTTCCCTTGTTGCCGCGGCAGCAACTGGCCTTGTAGGTGTGTGCCAGCGAAGGCGACACAATTGTACTTGATGACTCATCGCATCACTTTAGTTGAGTCTGACTGAAGTGGATGGCGCGTTCAATTTTACGCTCGTGGTCAACTGACATTTAGTCTTCAATGTCATCCCCGCACTCGTTGTCTGCTCATCCATCAATTAATGCTTGCTGTCTGTGCGGTATTCACCGGCAGCACAACAGCACTTGTTCTGATTGTTTCGAGGGGATCAATGTTATCCGTGGATGACGGAAAAAGAGATGAGCTACAAGTGATGCGACCACAAACTCACAAGCCGGCTGACTATAAGAGAGAAAAATTCATCAAAACTTCTTTTATAGACGTAATACACAACCAATAAGGTTGCTGAAAATTTTTCTTGTGGCCACTAAGGCCTTCCAAGCCACCTGGGTTCGAAGCAAACGAATAAACTAGAAAAAAATAGCAAACCGTAAATATTGGGCTGATTACAGCCAGTCAATTTTCTGTTTATGAACATTCTCTTCAAGTTCTCTAGCCCCAGCTGTTGTGTTGGGGCGAATTTTTGATGACGTGTTTAGTAACGACAGTCAGACCGCGTGCAACAGCTACTTTGTTTGCGGAAAATATCCTTAGCCGCCAAATGCGATGACCACGTTGTATCAAGCCATGGTCTACCGAAACAAATGCTCCAGATACTTCCTACAGAATGGCGGAAGCTGTGAGACGGACACCATGGAGCTGGACAATCGGGTATGAAAGAAATCATAGTTATTCACATTCACATCACTCTCGTTTGAACAGACGTTCTCCTGTCCGGCGCAATTAACATCACTCTCGTTTGAACAGACGTTCTCCTGTCCTGGCGCAATTATTATGGTGAATCCACACCAAAGGAGGGGAAGCATTGAACTCGAGTTTCGCTCTTACTAGAGCTCATCAGCAGTGCCTATCCAATGGTCGTGCCGGGGTTTGGCTCTGGACACCTGACATGCGAGGCAAACGTGTTATCACGTTATTCCACCAGCGCACGTTGGATGCATCTGAATTCTCACATCTGAACGGGCGAGTGTGTTCACGCTTGAGCGATGTGATTGGTATGCCCGACACATCGATACGACGACTGTCCTGGTAGTGACGATCGACTGGCCCGCTTGTCAGGACTTCCCAGTCAGGTAGCGCCACAGACCCTTGAAACCCGCTGGACCACTTTTGTTGATGCATGTTGTTCGAACGAGAGTGATGTGAATGTGAACAATGCACATCCCGCAAGCCCCACAACATGCATCAAATCATAGTTACTTTAAATGCTGCTGGTGCAATCGGGATTCTATGATGCGGTCTCCGAGACTATCATTATAGACGGCTGGAGACTATTCAGAATATATGACGACTAACAAATCCCAGTGACTTTTGTACTTTCATCTCCTAACGAGGTTGTTGCAGTGAGCGCTGCTGAAACAACACTCC